ATCGGTATCGGGAGGGAAAAAATGATATCAGAACATCTCTACTACAGACACAGTGACTAAAATCATTCATGGTCTTTAAATAGTAACAGGGTCAACTCCACCCATTCTCTCAGCTCTTTCACTTCCTTACTAAAAGTTGCTGCTTTGTGACAAGGTTAAAAGCTAGGAACCCTTACAACCATTCAGGAGGAGCCCGAGTGGTCAGATGAGATACTTTGTAAATACGGCCCCTGAATCTTATTCAAATACTGTGAGATACCCAGCACTAAGAGCTTTCTCTTTACTGCAGGGTTTCAGCAGGTTTCACTTTTAACAGGTTCCATTTAAGACCTATTTTACATCCATACTGGCAAAAAGTACGCAGGATATCAATTAAAATCAGTATTGGTTCCATGTCCGTTTTGTTTTGTAGTTGTTACAGTATGATCAGTACAAATGTTTCCCCAAATCACATTTAAAAGCCAAACTGAACTTCATTAATCCAATCACTTAATAATAGCTTTCAAAATCTAAATTCAGATGATTGAAGATTTTTTTTTAGACCAAATCAAATCTAAATTCAAGCATTATGGCTTGTTTGATCTAGAGGACAACCACAGCAGTTCAATTAAAGTACTTTGATTGGTTTGGTATTTCATTCAGTGGATTAGTCTGTATAAACTGTTTAAATGTACAAAGTGCAGGATCTGTTAGCGTTACTTAAACAGACATTCTGTAGAGCAGAGGGTTTACTAATGCTTCATTTTTAGATACAAAACATCCCATTCTAGGCTTCATGAACTATGAGGCTGAAGAAAGCTACTAGTGAAGCAGTTGTTTCCTCATATGAAACTCTGTGGCAACATGCAACCTGTTGAGTAAAACAGTTACTACATCACAGTGTCTCGAACATGAGCAGGGAGGTCAAGAACTCTCCAACTTACTACTAAGAGCTAGCACTGAGAAGCATTAGTGAAGTCTTATATTAAACTGGCAGCAGCAGCTGCTACTGGGACCAGAGTCGTTTTTGGTAAATGATGCATACACATTGGTCTATTTCAGTCCACAACATACCAACAAACACTTGAAATGAATATGAAACAGGACAGGTGAAATCTGAATACTCACCACACCATTTGAATTGTGCACACCGCTCAGGTTGATCTTGTTCACAAAGCGGACAAGAGGGGGATGCTCGGGGTATCTGAGTCCACATTCTATTTTCAGACTGTATATCCGGCCTTCATAGACAGTCTGCAGTTAAAGAAAGGATGACGGCTTAGCTTAAAGAGTCAGAGTCAAATGTAGTGTTGTGTTGTACGGCTGCACGGTTAATCTGAATATTGAGGAAATCACAGTATGGTCAAGTGCAATATGCAAAGTGTTGATTGAGTTTGAGACTGAGTGCATTCGTGACCTTGGAACAGCAGTTAAGTTGCAGTCAAGGTCTCCTTGCTTGCTTGTTCTGAAGCTTTTGACCACATTACAGAAAATCATCATCCACAGTTTGGTTACAACAGAGCAAAGTTTATCTGCTCATAATGTAAATGTTTGGAACACAGAAGGACAACGGTTCAGAAAGCGAGGACGTTTTAGTAATGACCAACTGTTAGTGGAGGGAGGGTGTAAGGGCAAGACATACAAAGACATAACCAAACTGAGTTTTAACTCGACATAATGTACTCTGTTTCTTTCTACATGTACATTCTATATGCACATCTGTACATTGTCATTTAAATCTTTCTATTTCTGTCACCTGGGACTTACAGATGTAAATTAGCATTCTAGCTAACTCTGGCTCTGGTTTCTATCTTTTATCTTTATACTGATGTTTTTTAACATGCTTTGTCCCTACCAAATAAACAAATACAAGAAATTCAAATCAATCTCAGCTCTGATTACAGCACCTCAGCTCAGTTTACAGGTTATGTATCTGTTCACAACATCAGTCAGTTAATGATAGTGCTGACAACTAGGCCTGTCACAATAACTACTTTTGTTGAACGACATATTGTCCCTGAAATAATAACTAATGTAAGGAGAAGTGTTATAGTGCAAGCACACCCTTTCCGAGATCAACGGACTTTTAATTAAAGAATTTAGACATTGGAATTGGAAAGTGAAAAAAATATTA